TACCTATATATATATATATATATGTTAAATATATATATATATATAATAATATTATATATTATAATATATATATATTATTATTTAAATCCTTGGATTTAAATTCGCGAAAATTATGTTGCTACATTAATTTGCGCATTTTTTTAAACGAAATATTATCACCCTTGCTAATGTGCAAATATTGATACCATTTTATTTATCGTATTCTTAAATTTCGCCATAAAACCAATTAACGTATCCATTTACGTGAATATTATGAAAAAAAGAATACTACTCGTACGTACATTTTTTTATTTTCACCGACTCTCTCGCCTTTCAGTGGAGTCCAGACGCTATGAGACCCGCGCCGGGACACATGTCAGCTTTTAGCGGAGAAGATCAAAATTGTTTTAACGGTATTCTATTTCTCAACGCGCTCACGTATTCTCATATCGATTTTATTGCGGCGTTATCACGGTCGCGTATGTGAAATCACGAGTTTCGCGCGTTACCTGTGAAACGACGCGCTGCTGCAGAAAAACCGTTTCCCTAGTGGGCAAATTTACAAAAATTTCTTTTTTTACACGAGTACGTGCACAGAGTACCACACGTGCCGGGATCTGGCTGTAATCCCGTGCGCGCGCGCGCTTTGAGGTAAATACCGGCGGTAAATAGGTCGCGTTCGCCGTGCGGTCGTTTCCCGCGCACGGGTTCCGAGACCCCCGTCGGGATATTTATGGACGGCGGTATAATGGGTATTCAATATCATCGGACTTAACCGTGGAAATTCACGGTATTCCGCAGGATGTTGGGAATATGCGGCTCGTCCGCCCTTGTCAAAACCGTGTCGCCCCTCTCGTGCCCCGCGCGCATCGAAACTATTTTCGGGTCATGCAGAGATAACGATAACGATCCCATTCGCGCATTCGACGCCTCTCGGCCCCGGTCGGCGATCTGTCGCGTAATTGCGAATCGCGAGATAATTGCTGCGGTGCATGGTAGGATCGCGGATCCCGATTACAATCTGATTCCCAGGAAGATATGGCGCATTGAATTAAATATCCCTCTCTCGCATACGCGTCTGACCGCGCGACAGACGTTAATTCAACCCACCCGAGCGAATGCAATGTTTGCGCGAGAGGGAGATTTCTTTTCCTTTCGGCGTATCGCGATATGCAAGTGCAGTGCTGAAAGCTTTTTCTAATCAGCTGAGGATTCGTTAAAAATAAAATGGACGAGCACCTCGTCCGTTCTACTTATTTCTATTGCATATATGTATATATGTCTTTGTGCTCATACTCCGTATTAGTCGAAGTAGGCATTCAGGTCCGCAACCACCAGGTGGAACCAACGCAGCGCGATACCGTCGAGAAGTATCATTGTGGAAACGCTGACCCGGTAAATTCGGGCAGCGTGTTCCATTGTGCTCGTGTTCGGGGTTTACGGTAACATTCTCGCCCTGGCAGCCCGTTGACGTAGATTTCGCGAGCGTAGATTTTCGCGTGCAGATGCAAATATCTATATAGACGAGCCCCCCCCCTCCCCCCCTCGTGAGGGACGAGGATCGCGAGGTCGGTCGGCACCCGGGGTTGGTAGCGGCGGCGA